AAGTGATTTGGTTTGATTTGAAAAAATTTCAAATCGCTTTTAAATGATTTGATTTGAAATTTTGTCTCAAACCGTCAAAAACAAGCCACGTTGACCCATAATTTAAAGATATGAACATCCAAGGAAAGAAAGATGATAAGGGTGCAAATAGTTGGATTTGGATATGTTTTTTTGTTGTATATTAATTGTTTAGAAGGTCCAACTCCACCGTCTCACTTCTTTAATTTTGCTCCCTTTCTCTCCCTCCGTCCCTTCTTAGCATGACATTCTTGACCCAAATTTTAGGTTTGACTATTATATAGAGGGTGTTTGGTGAAAATTAAATTAAATTTTTAGTAAATTGTAATAGAAGTTTTTAAAATGTGTGGTTGAAAAGTTGTGAGACCCCATGAAAAATGTTAATACTAATTGTTTGACTTTGATTTTGATTAAAATCAGATTTTAATACAGACCAAAAAGGGGCTTAACTTGGTTATTACAAGCTTGATGTTTAAAAGTAAGAGTGAAATTGAAAGAAATGAACAAAAATCTACGAAAAAGAAAGATTTCCAAAGTTCAAAGACTAAATTATAAATATTTTTTTGAGTTGATTCAGACCTATAAATGATAAATTAAGAATGCAAAGAATCAATTGGATGGAATTAGAAGGTAATATATGAGAATTGCTCAAGACAAAATTTGAGGATCAAAACACAAACCCTAGAAGATCATAAGGGTCCGAAGAGTTGCGTTTGCAACCCACGTTTCTTGAAAAACCGAGGCCAACTCATCGGGCACATGTGGTCGCTAGAGTGATGTCCATGCAATAACATGATCTCTTCATACTAACACGGATAATTTTTCATACTCGACTGAAGCTCTTTTGCAAATCAATTTAGATGCAATTTTGACCTAATTTTTGGCCGATATAAATACAAAATATGGGTAAACATTAGGGGACCTCTCTCTAGCCTCTCAAATCAATTCATATCACAAAATCAATTAAGAGGGGCCAAGTCACCATATTTTGGAGAGAAGATCAATCCTAGCGAAGAATTGAAAGAAAATTACATCAACAACTTGAAAAATTAAAACTTGTAATTGAATATCAAGATTTCTTGTACTCAAACACATTTTGGGTTTTTTGTTGTTCAATTCAAACATGGACTGGTTCCATTAGACATCGACAATAAGCGTCCAGCTTTGCCTTGCGCTCTTCATTCTATTCCGTGTTGCGGTCTATTGGTCCGTTTTGTGTCATTGTTTCTGTGCAATTTGTAGTTTGGATAGTTCATTGTAGTTTCGAGCTTTATAGAGGATGCAACATGAACTCTTTAATCCTTACTCCGTTTTAGATAGGTTGTATTGTATCACATTCTAATATTTTATTGATTCAAAAATTTGTAATGANTCCCTCAACGGCAACACCGACCCCCGCAACACTTGGAAAAATGTTGCAAAAAGTCTTTTACAACGTTTTTTGACCGCTGTAAAAGCTCTTTTTTGGTGTAGTGATAATTGAATTATTGATTGTTAAGAACATATAATTTACACTAGATCACGTACGTCTAGAATTGAAAATAAAATTACAATAGTTGAATTCATAAGTCCAATTCATTCATCCCAATTCATGAAAACAATCTTTAAACAAATCGTAGAATAATTCAAAATTAGATAAAATTATCTCTTTTGTTAATATATTCGAACTTGATTACAAATTAATGAAATTTACTTTAAATTTTATTTCTTGTGAGACAATATTCTTCTTATCATACTATTACTTGTCAACGATCCGTTATACTTGCAAGTTTTGTATGAATATCTACCATAAATTAATGACAAAGAACTACATGATTAACCTCACAAAAAAAAAAAAACCCTCATCGATGATCTTAGAAATTGGACGTAATCATGACTTCTAACATACTAATGAAATAACGCCAACTAATACAAAAAAAAAAAAAAAAAATTCCAAAATCGTCTATAAATAGTGTCATTTGCACATCTAATAAATAATTGAAAATCTAAGATCCAATTTTTGATTCCAAAAAAAGGTTTCGGATCTAGTTGCAATTAAAGGTCAGCATTCTTGAAAATCTTAGCATTTATAATTGAAGTGTACTTTCGGACCAAAATAATGCAAAAAACTCCATCTCTCCTTTTATACAAAGAACTTATTAAAAAACACAACCAAAACAATCCCAAAAGGAGAGAAATCCTATCAAAATTTCGGAATAAAATTCTACTGTAGGCTTTAAGAAATTTCTATTTTAAAAAAATTAGTAATTACCAAGTAAGAATAGAAAGTCTATTTTTTTTTTAAAAAAAAAATGAAGTTAAAATAGAGAGTCTAATGAAGTTTATTTTGTGTATTGACTCTCTAAAATAAAAATATCTTGTGTTTAGAGAATTTATTGGAGATACTCTTATACTTTTGTAAACATAAGTATTGTTCAATGTTTTTACTTACCAATAAATTTTTTGAGTAGGTCAAAAAATATTTTTTTTTTATAGTAATACTTATCACCCGTTTGAGCCCCTTTTTTTGGGAGAACTATGTTTTCTAATAGTGATTTCTTGGGAAATGTGTGGTTAAAAGTATGGAAAAACTTTAGTTTTGTGTAAAATTATTTTATGGGAGAATATGTTGTTGAAAATAAGTTCTTTTTTTAAAAAATAAGTTCTGAAACAATTGGGGCTCGAATAGTGCTTATAAATTAGCAATGTCCACGAATCAATATTCTTTATTTCTCATGAAATGGCACTGAAAACAGTTTAGTACCAATTAAGTGAAGTTACCAACACATTGTGTTTTTGTTTGAAGACTGAAGTGACAGAATTTCTAAAGAAAAAGACACGATTTCACGACCTAAACTCATTACATCAAATACAATAAGTGAAAGAAAATAATGTTCTTAGAATGAAGAGCGCGAGTTCGCGCGCACACAATATACAAATACACATGCATCGAAACATGCATTATTCGACAAACTAAAGAGAAATGGAACACACTCGAAATCTTGCATTTGCAGAAACCGAGCTTTCGATCCCCACAGCAAACTATAAGAGAACAAAAGGAACTGCTGCACACGTCCATTATTCAACATAACATTTCAGAACAAAAAGAAGAGCTTCTTGTCCCGCTTCTTGCTCTTGACCTGTTTCTTGACCTTCTTCATATTCAAGAAATTCGTCCACCATATAGCAGAGCTTTTCGGGAACCTTTTCAACTGATTATTCTCAAAATCTACATGAACAATACCAAACCTAACGGTATAACCATCGGCCCATTCAAAATTGTCAAACATTGACCATATGTAATAACCCTTCACACGAACACCGCGGCTGAAGATGAAAGAGAAATTGTGAACATTCATCTTGTTACAAGAATTTCAGCCGCAAGAGAAATTATGAACATTCATCTTGTTACGAGAATAGTCAATTAATTTCGTAATGGCTGATTCAATGGTTATATGAATGATAACTTACTCCAATGCTTTTTTAAGTTGGAAAAGGTGGTCGTGGTGAGATCTAACCCTCATATCATCAAACCGAGCTTGTGCAACTGTTGCTTTAGTGTTCAATTCATCCACCCCTGCACAAAATCATTCATGAAATCACATTAGTATTGATAAAGAGTAAAAATTATTTTGCTGTAGAAAAAAGTCTTAACAAGATGATGTGAATTTACCATTCTCTGTGATGTAAATGTAGGGATTATTGTATCGTTCTTTCAAATGAACCAAGAGCTTGTATAGCCCTTCTGGAACGATGTACAACCAACTCGAACCAGCCTGACAAAATCAAGGACATTATAATTATTAAAAACATGTGTATAAACATTAGAAAGTAATGGTACAGTAAGTAATATCATTGAGCAGCCGATTTTTACGTGACAATGCAATAGAATAAATCATTGAAATCTCTTCTGCATATAGAAATGCTGAAGCATGAACTGTTGGATTATCTGGTCTATTTCTAATTTTATTTCTGAGCAAAGGGAATATCGAAAAACATACCTGTTCACCTATGGGCGTCCCATTACGTTCAGCTACAGTGTATTGAGAGAGTGAGAACCACATCACAAGAGTGTAATGACATAATGTTTATGATGTTATCATGTACATAAAAAAGATCTCATACTTACTTGATGTTTGAACCTCCTGATCGGTATTGTAACTTGGGTTTGCTCCAGGTGTCTTAGGTGAATTTGTTGCATAATTCGTAGTGTAATAGTTTATTCCTAAAAAGTCATAGGATCCCTTCACGAGAGTAACCTGTTCTGGTGTAAATTTAGGAAGGCGTTCTCCTACTAATTGTCTCATAACTGGTGGATAATCGCCAGTAACCACGGGTGCTACAAACCTGAGAATGCACAAAACCAGGATTGAGATTTGGACCAGGAAGAGAAATTCTGAATTAGGAGTCATTTTATGTCTCACATAAATTCTACAGAATTGATTACTAAAAGTTTCGAACCGACTAAAGGAATTCTTATTAAAAGATGTTTAAAATAACATTTAAGAAGTAAAAGCCAGCTCTTATTGTGATATGGCTTAATCAGAAACTTAACAAAGTGCTTTGGCCTCTCGAAGATGTAATTGCCACTTGTAATTTCTATATCTTCTCATAAATAAGAATGAAGCTGGGCAGAGCCACTTACCAACCCAACGCAAAATCAACTGCCCTTGAAGCAGCCTCTTTATCAGCTGTTGTGTCATTGAGTGGCTCATACCATTGTGTAACATTTGTGACTCCTATCTTGCCTCCTTGAAGATTCTATATAAATGTATTTGCATGAACTATTACAAAATCTCAAAAGTGAAAAGAATTACTTGCATAAGATAATAACAACAACCTGAAAGTTCTTCTTGTATATATCAACTGCCACTGCATGAGCAAGGATCAAATGATGTGCAACAATATACGGTTCCGTGCCAGGATTTCCATCGCTGCAAATAATTGGATCCTGAACATTGCATCTATGACGATGGACAGCTTTTGTTACATGGTCATCTTGTGTTGGACCCCGGCCAGGTGCAAAAGTACCAAACACATATCCGGAAACAGAAAAGCTCCATGGCTCATTCAATGTGACCCAAAGTTTCACACGATCACCGAATTCCCAGAAGCAAATCTCAGCAAAATCAGAAAAATCTTCCCTATAATACAGGAATGTATCAAAATAAGTTTCACGGTGTAATACCTTTCTGCAACATTAGCTTACTAAATTTTCCTACGAGAGCTGAACTTGATAATACATAAATCCAATTTCTCAAAAGGGGTTTTCCTTAATATTGTTTCTGAAAAAATGTCTTTGTTTCCCTTTAATTTGCTTTCTTTTCCTGGAAACTCCCAAGTAATTTGTGCCTAGTTACGCAATTTTGAATTACTTACACAATTCGAGGGCTTAAAAAGCCACCATACTCGTCTTCCAAACATTGGGGAACATCCCAATGAAAGATAGTTGCGCAAGGTGTAATGCCTGTAAAATAGTTTACACGAATCCAAGGTAAGATTTTTTATCGTTTTAATTCTGCTTCATAATAAAACCATATTAGTTTTAACATTTAACTCGTGAAGTAAACAGAAACAAACACCAATTGTTAAAGATAAATAACACCACCTTCGGCTAGGAGCAAGTTTATGAGAGCATTATAGTACTTAATTCCTTCTCTATTTACCCCAGCACTTAATCTTCCTCCTGAAATATCAATTTAAAGTACAACTAATAGATTGATTATTATTTTTTATAAAGGATGATGCACTGTATGTACATACACATACATACCTGGTAATACTCTCGTCCAAGCAATTGAAAATCTATAAGAATTTAAACCCACTTTCTTTATCAAAGTCACATCTTCCTGCAACATTATTGAAAATGAGTACAAAGAATTTCTCCTTTATTTTTCTTGTTATTGTGGAACACAACAAATAATTTGAAAATGGAATATTGGAAATTATTAAAGGACAGACTCATCATTGAAATCCGATGAAATTAAAATGAAAAAATTTATATTTGAGTTATCCTTTTATCATGTTTGGCTAAGCTTAACATGTTAACTTATAAGAAGTAGTGGAGCTATAATTTTCATAGTAAGGGTTAGTGGAGTTATTACCTTCATCGTAAGGGTCGAACACATATCGAGGAAGTAAAATATGTGTTTATGTATATATTAAAAAGTTCTTATATGAATCTTGAAAAACTTTAAAATGTGGATGAGTGATTACCTTCTGTCCCTAGTTATAAGTTGATTTTTGTTCTCTTCTGAGTTAAAATTAAAAATAAGTTACTTGTTTGAGAGGTACTATTTTTGAAGGATAATGAAGCTTTTTATAGTTTCTTAATCTCATTTTGAC